TCTTAGTACTTTGGTATCTAATATGTTCTTTGAATATGTTATATTTCCCAAATCTGAGCCTTGGTTTTAATGCTGTCATGACACTCTGAATGTTTTAATGGACAATGAGTCACTATGGAGGCAACCAGGAGCAATAAGTAGATGGTAAAAATTAGAACAAACAATATATCTTGCTAAATGAGTCACTGCTAGTCCTTTGTTACCTTTTACTGTTTGTTTGAGTTTACTTTCCATCATGATTTAAAGGCTTTTCCCATCTCCTTTTCCAGTGGAGGGTTTTTGCTTCTCATTGCTTCTTTCTTCCCTTCAATTATGCGAGCCATGCAAGCATTTCCCCTTGAACACTTTCCAGCTCCCCACCCCGTACCTCACCCACTCCGTGTCCTCCCCCTCGTTTACACAGCTCCCTTCTCCACTGTGTTTCCTGCACTACCTACACGAACTGCACTCAGCATGGACATGGTGGGGGAGGGAGGGTGGAGAGGGAGAAAGTAAGGAGAGGACTTCTGAGGAATCTGTGTGAGTTTCAAACTGGAGGCTCCTCTGCACATGGAAAAGATGGAAGATGTAGAATAGGAAAGAGGAACAGATTCAAGAGCAGGTCCAGAGTGACCAGAGACAACCTCAAGGTAGGAGCATGTTGGTTCTCATCTCTTCAGAGGGAGCTGGAAGCTGCAGAGATGGGAACCCAGGAGATCCAGTCCCTGCTCTCCACAGCACCCACCTGAAGCACAATTCAGAGGGTAAGCCTTGTGGAGCTCTCCCTGCCACCTCTCCTGGCAAAAGGTTATTCAGCACGTGGGAAAGGTTGCTTTGTTTCTTACTCAATGTTCCATACCCCATGACCACTCACTTTACTGCAATTGCTTGTCTAAAACACTGTTCACTGCCCCTGTTCCCACTCCCATTCCAAAACCACAGGGAAAGGACACTGACACCACAGAAGCAATGAGCTGCATGTCAGGGCCATTCTTGCAGGAGGGGGATGAAATCTGCCTGGAGGACTTGCAAAATTCAGTCCCTGCTCTCCTCACAGTGGGATGTGGATGTAAATGTTGCCTCTTTCTCAGAGCAGCTTTTAAGTGTGAGTATTTGTCTCAGAAAGAACAAACACACACCATCAAACAACAACACAACTAACAAACAAGGCCTCAGAGACCAGCAGCTCCCAAAAAATCAGCTCTCTGAAAAGATCAGTTCTCTCTGAAACTTCACTCATTTGGATTCAAAGGTACCTGGACGCAGAGCACTTGAGCTAGAGAAACTGCACATCTGTGGCATGTGTTTATTTATTTATATACCTGTTTTCCAATCTTGCACCTGCCTACTTTAGCTGATCTCTAGCTATCAAATTGTGATGGAGCAAAAGTAATAAAATGCCTGTAGGATAGAAAAACCCCGCTTGAAGTTCTCCCATAGCTCAACCAGACCTAGAAGATGCACAATTCAATTAAAAGAAATATAAAGTTTTTCTCTCCTCACCTCACCATTTCCCCCTTCTCTTCTGTGCATTTCATACATCCATATATATATATAGATATATATATAAATAAATACACACATACACACATACACACACACACACACACACACAACCAAACCCACCCCTCCCCTTCCCAATCCTTCCTTTAAGGTTTAATTTAACAATAACATTTGCGATCGGGGTCCTGAGCATCTCAAGGGCATTGCGCTTGAAATTGCACACACTCCGCACCATTTATCATAGCCTGACATGTGTCATGTTCCAGACTGCAGCTCCAAGAGGTTACAGCTCACGACTGCTCCTTTGTTGATCAGCTGCCGAGACAACTGAGGCACCTTTCTTTCTTTTTTTCTTCCTCTCCTTCTTTCATTTTTTTTTATTATTAAAGCTGCACCGTCCTCTTTTCATAGGGCTCATTCTGACACAATGGAAAAAGAAAACAAATCTTTCTCTGCTCTGTGCAGTTCCCTCACCAGATCTTCATCAGCACAAATTCCAATCACATTTTATTTGGGTTCAGTAGCAAAGCTTTGGCTGGTTAATATTATTGATTAATACTGGATGTAAGAGGGATAAACTGTTTTCAAGGTAGCTCTGTGCCTGAAGAGAAGAAAAGGGTGTGTTACTGCTAAGGATATTGGGGATAGGGCTAAGGCAGTTCCAAAGTGCTTTTCTCTGGCAGCATCCAGACTTGCCAGGCCAGTGAATTCCTTCCATTGCTAAACTTCAGTCTTGCAACTTCAGGGAAATGAATTTTTTCTTCTCAAGAGTTTCTATTTCATTTACTCCACCTATGCACCTTCACTTCCTTGGTGCCTTGCAGACTTCTTGCTGCGTGCAGAGCACCTGAGACCTGTGTGTATCTTTGCAGGAATGATGCATACAGCAGTTAAGCAAACCAGGCTGTTTATAAACAAGAGCCACTGAATTGCATTCATAAATCACTTGTAGATCCTACTTTTGCCAGTCTTCATCCTGCCAATCAACATTTGTGTAGGGTATTGGTGCAGGTGTCACTGCCACTTAATGTGTAAAGGATGCAAGGTAGTACTGATAGCAAAGAATGGGGTCTGAACGCTGCTCTAAGATCTGAACAAAAGCAGACTTTGTATTGTTCTGCATTCTCAATAATGTCAGCATATCAGGTGAACTACAAATCTCTTTTTTAAGCTATTTACAATGAAGAGTTCTTGAAGGCAGGAAATGCTGAACTGGAGCTGATTTCTCCATTTCCTCTCCCCATTTTCATGTTCTGCTCTGTCCTGGAAGACCTCAAGCCTGAAGGTTCAGATCCCAAAGTCTGTCAGTGCTTTGGAATGATACTTGATCTTTCAGATTCCTATTCCCCTCTGAGCTCTAAATCACGCAGTGTTCGTCACCACCTGTTAGCATCAAGCACAGCCTCTGCCGACACAGTTGGAGTTGTCTTACTTTCTCTCACACTCTCAGCTCTTGTCGATGGATATTTTTGGAGGTTTCCTCGGTTTAGAGGCACTTGATTAATCAGTAGTGCCAGATGGGAAGGCTCAACCACTACCACCAAGTGTGTGTCACACGCCTATTAGATTCACTAACAGAGGGTTTTCTTGCCATTGGCCAGCAAGATTTTGCACTTTGTCCTTCATTGTGTGTTTTTTGCCCATGTCAGACCTCTTTGCCTTCCAGTTTAGCACACTCTCCTCTAGAAGCCTGACCTGAACAGCGCTTTGCTGCCTGAAGGATGCCTTATTTCCTCCCTGTTTTTCAAGGAGAGAAAAGCCCAATTTTGTGTCTGTAGCTGGGTAGTGCCAGATTCACAGCATCCTCCCCGAGCTGCTCCTGGGCTCAGCATGGAGCCGGCTCCCCGCTGCCCGTGATGCATCTCCCCCTTCGCATCTCTGCTGGTGTTGCTGACCTTGACTGGATCTTGATCCCTGCCCACCCCCTTTGCCAGCGTCAAGACCCCTGCCCGGCCCTGCAGGGATGATGCAGTGCCAGTGCCACCAGCTGGGATGGCACAAAGCAGAGCCGGGGCTGGGCCAGCTTCCAGCCACATCCCTCTGCCTGTCCTGGGGACAGCCACCACCTGCACAGCCCCGCCTCCCCCCACACTGAAAGGTGGCAGTCTGGCAAAGCCAGGACAAGGCACAGAGCACAGAGAGGTATAAGGGCAGAGACCAGCCTAAACGCTGCTTCTCCATCGCTTTGCCACCCTAAAAACCACTCGTCTGTGTGTGCCTGACGCTGGCAATGCCGCTCTGCCCCCAAGCAGCAAGGAAGCTGCTTGATTACCCAGTTTTAAAGGAATATGATGTCTCCCTAAAACTCTTAGGGAGGCTTACTGAGGATATTTAAGAGGGCTGGAGTTCTCTTATTTATGGAGGGGCTGTGCCCAGGGCGTGCCTGTGCCCGTCTCTCTTTTTAGGACACCTGTTCCCATGAAAGCTGCTGTGGTGTTTTAATTCCTCACTCCAGACCGCACAGGGGCCACTTTAGCCCCCAGCAGTTTTAAATGAAAGATGAATAATTTTAAGGGTATTTTGTGGATTTATAAGGAGGAAGTAAGGAGTCTACAGAAAGGGAAAAAATAGCAGTCTATGGCAAAAATATTAAAAATAACTAAAAACCCACTAAAAATAAAACCCCCCCCTCAACTTTCCCTCTCCAACCATGGATATTGTCATTGTAATACTGCTCAAAAATGGGGTCCCATGGGCTGGGAGTGAAAGTGAAACACAGATACTATGAGTGTAATAGAAAAGCAAAAAGGAAAGCAGCACACACAGTAATCTGGTGAACAGGCTTCAGCTGAGACCATCCTCTGAATATCTCAACCATGGAGCAGAGCTAAGACTGGATTCAGAACTGGCTCAACATCCTCATCTCCCTGTGGAAGGAAATACAGCTAGAGCAGCCTCTATTTATTGGGATGGCATTGGGGGATGCTGGAAATTAATTGACTCCTCAGATATGAGAAATAAAAGTAACCTTGCGTCTCTCTGCTAAAAAGAAAAGGAGAGAACCACCAAACCAAGCTACATATGAATGATAGGAGAACCAATAATGACTTAAAAAAAGTATTTAAATGCAATCAGGCATAGTGGAGGAAAGAATAATGACATGTGTACAGTAGACACAATGTAGATTACAATTTATAACAGGATACAGGATGGAGCCAGCCCTTGATTAGGGGACCATGTTACAAATTTTTCAGCATATGTCCTCTGTTTTTCTTTGCCTTGGCATAGGAGGCTGGGCACTGCTGGTAAGTAAATCAGATTGTCAGAAAATGCCCATGTTGATGAGAACTGCAGGATCCAAGGAAATTAACTTGACTTGTATTTTAGACAATTCTGCCATATCCATTCCTTGCCCAGAGCTGTCAACGGAGAAAGAGTTGTGCCTGCTTACAGCTTTAATCAGAGATAAAAATTACCCCTAGTTCATGAATATGTTTATCACGGAGATAAGTCAATGGCAGAGAATAGATTCTCAGCACACAGCTCTGCATGTCTTGCACTAAAACATGTCATATACTGATGTGTTTTGCTCTACAAATAGCACCCTCATACTCCACTCATTGTCCAGACACAGACAGAGCCTGGGCAGGGAAAAGTCCTTCAGAAGGAAGCACAAGGAGCTTTTCTGATGAGCTTGGAGGACCTTAAAGCTCCTTGGGTGTCTGCTTGCTGTGGCTTGGCCACCATCTATGAATCCTTTACTAGACTGCCAGGGGAGAGGTGAAGAGGGAAATTATCATTTGGTCTGATCACAAAAGCTGTTGGGGCTCCTATGATCATCCTCTGTGTCCTGAGGCTCTGTCTCCCTCCTGGATGTGTTCCCAGCTGCTGTTGTCTGGACCCAACACTTCAGGCATGGCTCTTGACCATTAATACCAGTAAGTCATGCTCTGTGGTGGGGTGGGGGGAAGCTGTGATGTGCCGTTTCTTGTGGGTAGTCAGGCTATGATAAAAAGGAACCTGTATTCATGAATAATTTTTTTTCCACTTTTAAATGTCTTTTTTCTTCCCCATCACATCCCTCAGAGTACCTTAAATTAAAGAAAGCAATACTAGGGCAACAACAAAAGCAGGAATGGGAATGACACAGCAGCAAACCAGAAAGCAAATGGCTGACAAGGGATATTTATATGTTGCATGGTGTTATTTTGGCTGCTCTGTTTGTCCAAATTGCCCTAGAAAACAGAGAGCACAAGCAGCTAAATGAAGGCTCCTTGAAGTTGGGGTTTTGCTGGATCCTGATGTGTGTGTGCACTGGGTGTGGGTGTATTTCTGTGTGTACATCGGGGAAGAAGGAAGATTGTTATTGTGGTCTCTTTATAGACAGGCATAAACACCCCTGTTTATTTCCAGCATGCCATCTAAATTCAAAATTAGCATAAGCTGATGGTGTTAATTGATTTATATGCATGCAGGCAGTGGTTTATCAAAGGTAGAGGGACATAAGGTCACTCCCCTAAGGGCCTCTTGGGAACAAGTATCCATCTGAGATAATATTGAGATTGGCATAGTTGGGAATATAACTGTGTCCAAGTATGAAGAAACTGAGTTCTTTGTCATTAGCAGCAAAATAATTCTCCTATTAATATTATAATTCTCCTTTTAATAAAGGCTGCTCTCATTGAGGTCTAGGAAAGTGCCCTCCAGGTCTGCTCTGAAGTGGCCCAGGCTGCAGCTGGAAGGCTGGCTGCCTTCCCAGAGAAGGGAAAAGTCCTGTCCAATTTGCCATCTGAGCCCAGCTCTCAGAATTTTGTTCCTTTCAGGTCAGTGTACCTCAGCCATTGTGGAAATGCCAGAACACTTTCTCTGAGGAGGTCAGCAATGACACAGAGACAGCAGGGACCAACAGGGACTTCTTTACTTTCTGAGAAAATTTCATTAAAATATTTTCCCTGAGCTGTACCAAGAGCAAAGCCAGAAAAGGGCCTTGACTTGCAAGTGTAAAAGGAGGGAAAATACATCCCCTCTTGCAGTGCTGGCCTCTCAGAAGGGAGGAAAGAAAGATTAAAGCTGTAAGCAGGCACAACTCTTTCTCCATTGACAGCTCTGGGCAAAGAATGGATATGGCAGAATTGTCTAAAATGCAAGTCTGAAAATTCTTTGGCCAAAATGTCTCCTATTGCTATTGGTTTTCACTATCTATTTTAAAAAACTTTGTTTTTTTATGAAAATGGGTTAATCTGAATGGAACTTTTCTTTTTCCTTTCAATATCTCTGTTTGTTTGTTTGTTTGTTTGTTTATTTGTTTTCCCCTTACCTTTTCCTGGGTCATTCTGTGGAATTCAGACATGAAATAATTTTAAAAAAGCATCTTCCACTTGTAAGTGAACCTCCCCTGCCTGGAAAATTGGGAATTTTGCCTCTCTAGTAGGAGCTGTAGTATCTGATTGCTCTCTGACTAAGTAGGAGCTCGACAAGGCCACCTTTACACTGAGCAATCCCATATATCAGAGGCCACCCCTTTGAATTCAATGTTTTTGCTGGTGCTAAGAGAGGGTATTGGGAACAGCCTGAAATCACACCTTTCACATAATAAGCAGCAATGAATAGAAAAGAAAAGGAAACATGAGGCTTATAGGATTTAAGGAGTTTCTTTTGAAGAAAGAATCCACCCTGCTGCTGATGGCCAGATGCTCATGTGGGTGTTGAGACGTGCAAATAAAGCAGGGTATAAAGCTGTTAGCAATGGTTCACAGCAACAGACCAGCTCCTGTCAAGGAGAAGCAGGTTAGGTAAACTTTTCAGGTGTTTGGAGGTGAATCTTTTCATTTGTGCACAGCCCTTGTTTGACCCAACTATTTCACATCATTACCAATTGCTTTGTTCGTACATATCAAACTTCCTTCTGGTGCTTTATTGGTTTCTGCTCTTGCTGACCTCTTCCAGCAGTTTACTTTCTAACATCCTGAAAGCTTCATCATGACTGTTCAGCACACCTCACCGAGGGCTGAGATTAAAAGTTAAAAAAAGAGAAAGAGTGAACACAACAGGAGAGGAAACAGAAGAGCTTTTGGCAGCAGCCTGGTGACACCCTGGGGGGAGTCAAATGGGATGAGTAACCACGCGAAATAATGGCAGAGGGGGAAAAAGAGAGAAGAGACTCAAACAGCAGGGCCTGAGTGAGAGAATTAGTAGGAACATCAAGCTGAGAGGGCCAGGGGAGGGGAGGAAGGCAAAGTCTATCTCTCCATCTCAGCTCTCTGTTCCAAAGAGAGACACTGAGCCCTGTTAAAATAGAAAATGGGACCATTTAGTTTACAACACTAGGCACAGATATCTTGTATTCAGAGTCTGCTGCTCTCCTGGACTGAAAGTCTGCCTGGCTCTATAAGAGCAGTCCCAGGGAAATCTGAAGGGAGGACAGAAAGGGGAGAAGGTGGGAATTAAACAGGGGGAGAGCAGATAGTGTCAGCCCCAGCTGCAGTGGCTGCAGGGCACAGCCAACACAGCACCAGCAATATCCTCCCTCCATAGGTGCTGCAGAGCTGCATTGGTGTCCCCTCCCCGAGAACAAGGCTGCAGGGACACAGGGAAAGTGAGAGGACACCAGCCTGGCCAGGGCTCACTCTGGCTGAGCCCAGGTCCTTCAGCCTCCTCTATCCTGGCAAATCTTATTTGGATTATGTTTAGGCTGATCAATTCTTGGTGAAGGATAAACATTTCATTTAACACAGAGAGGATGAGATTTGGGAGCCTGGCTCCTTCTGGATGGAGTGACAATGGAAACATTCAGTACTCATGCCAGGAAACATCATAAGATTTATTTAGTGTCAATAAAAGAAAGAAATATTTTGACAAAACCAGAATATTTTACTTGGGTTAATTTTTTAAAAATAATTCTCTATTATATGATAGAAAATTAAAATGTAAAGTCAAATATTGTTGTGTCCCCCTCAAAAAGTTGGCATGGGTACTTTAGCACAGTCAGGACCTTTTTTCTAGTTTTCTTCCAAAAAGGAGCAGTGTCAAAATCAGTTTGATGCTATGAAATGTTTCAGTGTTGATGGAAGCACCTAACTAATAGTCAGGGTATGTATGGCTGTCTCTGCTGTTAACATTACAAAGAGTCTGACCCCCAGGTGCTCTCCCAGGCTTTCAACTCAATTTGCAAAATTCAGGCTTTTCTTTAGGTTTACAGTAGCATGAAGCAACATAAAGTTCAGTGATGATTGGATTAGGCTTTGACAAATATGAAAAAAACATTGAGATGTAATGTTAAAGCAGAAGGAACTCCAGGAAAGAGCAACTAGAGGTCTATTTTGTGAACATACTGAATATGTGGCTACAGCTGCAGCATATTCAGACTGTATAAAGTGCCTAACAAAAGACATTATGTAAACTTTTTATTTGAATAAGAAAAAGAGTATTTGACCTGCATTCTTTTCTCATTAAGCATATTTTTTTCTGTGCACATTCTAGTTCTTTTTTTTTTTTTTAATGCTAATGAAGAATTAAATTGTTACATCTTCAGACTAATGACTCTCATGAAGATTATTTTAACAATTCTTTCCTACCCTTTTCAAGTCCTGTTTCATGCTTAGGAGGCACAGAGAGTTTAAGCTTCCACGTCTGCCTTTGGTATTTCTACCAAGTGTAGATTTGTGACATGTGCTGCCATGTCCCAGGGTACATAAAGCTTCACTTTGGTGTCCTTGACATCTTTGGTCCTTTTTGTGGCTATCTCATAATTCATGCAAGTGATGCCATACAACTGTAAGTTTTTCATGAGGTCATAAAACTGATTTATAGAGGTTTTCCCATAATCTCCAAGCAAATTAAAGAAGGTTGATGGAGCTATGCAACTCACTGTTGCCTCAACAATGGTCTCATTCAGAAATGACACTGAACAAGATTGAGGTATTACGATATCAAGAATGTCCTTAAGAAGCCTTGTCTGTCTGTAAAAAAAAGTGATGCCTACAAACCAAGAAGGGCTGTTTCTTCTCTACACGTAGTTGATTTTACCCGTGACATCTACCTTAAGATTAATCAGACAATTTCTTACTTCACTTTCTGCTTTCAAATGGAAAAGTCTGATTAATCCAATGTAGATCAGCACTTATAAAAAAAAATTGAGGTTAATCCCCTTTCCCCTCTGAGATGTTTGACGTTTTGGATTATCCATTTTACAAACCATGTTTTATTTTGCTTTTCAGCTTTTAAAACAATTTTATAATAAGGGAAATATTCCAATAAGGAAAAAAATCTAATTCCAAAAATTCCAATAAAGGAAAAGATATTTATATACACCTGTATATATTTGCACATATATATAAACCAGATATATAAAATTACATATTTGTAGGTCTAAAACTGTGGGGGTTTCACATATATAGGTATTAAACTATTTAAAATGCACATATATAAAAACTAAACACAAACCTCAAACTCTATTTCCAAACTGTTAAACGTGGACATTTCAGAATTGTAGGAACTTTATTCTTCCATCTTTATTTCTGAAGCTGTTTGTGAAGCACTTCCATTTTGACAGAACTATATAGTCCAAGAAAATGAGCTTTCACTAAACTGCCTCCAACTTCAATATATGCCCTGTGTCAAACTCAGAGAGAGCTTCCAGCCTCTGTGGCTGGGGCCAAGTGCCAATTACACTGCACCCAATGGCCTATAACTGTCTTTTTTGCTTCTGTGAATATCGCTTTTCTAGTTAAAATCTTCAGGACAGCTTGCAAAGTGTTTGCTACTATTGCTCTGGAGTTAAAAGTAACCTTGAAAACATTTCTCCATGGTAGTAATGGAGGTGATTCTTCCATCCCTTCTCAAAAATGGCATTATATCGTTCCTATCTTTCCTCCTCAAATTCTGCCCAGCAGGCTTCTGAAGACCTTTTTAAGGTGGGTGTTATCCTTTTTATTTTCTTCTTATTTGAATATTTCATCTCAAACTTCACAGGGAGATGACTATCTCCCAAGTGCGTGAAACCAGCCAGGAGTGTTTTATACGTACATTGTAAAGCATTTGATGTAATCTGTGCTGTGATTATACATAAATAAGGAAATAAAATCTTTTTTAAATCACCTTTGTATTGGAATGAGTGGGTTTTTACCAAAGAGATCATACAAACTAAGGGAGTTATAAAGGTGAAAAATTCAGGCCCTTTAAAGAGTATTTGCAATAAAACCCAGGAAGCATAGACATTATAAGTATTAGTTTTATTATTGGAGTGAAGAAATAATTGTTAGAATTATTTCCTGAGTGATTTAAAAGTGTTAATGGAAGTGTTGAGCCGTATTCTGATCACAGAGTTTTGTAAATTAGAAGTAACTTAATGATATGAGTTCATTAAAAGGGAGATGGCATCAACCTTGCCATAGTCAGGCACTGTACAAAGAAATGTAAGTATTTCAATAAAAGACACATAGCAGAACTCTAGTTCAAGTCAATACTTCCTTATGGCCAGTGTATTGCAACAGGCTGTAAAAGAAAGTAATGAAATCATTAGATACTGTGTCCTTGCATTCTATTTTCTATTTACATGATAATAAACCATTATTAATATCATCATCATTGTTATTGTTCTAGTATTGTGAATTCTTGTAGTTTTCTCATTATTTTCCTTAAAGCCTCAGACGCTGGAATCAGGTGATCACCTAGTAAATTTCCAATTTTTTTATTTTTTAATTTAAATGTAATATCCTAGTTTTCCTAGTTGTAGAAAGAAGTTCAAAAGCACATTTTGAGTGCAGCTCAAATCACCTAATTTTATGTAACTACATCAGATGAGTCAAAGCACCAAATTTGTAAAATCCAGGCGGCGTGTGAAGCACAGAAGCTGCCCTAAAGGTCCCAGCATTTAAATGAAACTAACTCCGTTGTCGCCAGTGCCAGTAATTACAATAAGCCTGGCATTTCTTGTTACCCTGTGAAATTACCTGCAAGGCCTTTTCATATTGTCTCCATGCTGTTGTTTTCATGCTCAGCAGAGCATTAAGAGTCAATGATGGGCAGCTCTTGTGTTTGACTGCGAATCGTGGGGCATTTTGCTTTGGACTCTATAGAAAAATCCTCAAGGTGTTTATTGACAAATGCTTCCTACGGGCTGCTGTAATAGAGAATTCTCCTCTCTCCCCGCTCCCCGATTCCTACAAGGCCAATCTGCTCCACATCTAGGCACGCTGTTGCAAAAAATATATTTTTTTCAGTACCCTCCGTAATGTGCCTTCAACAGGAGCTATGGATCAAGCGTGCTCCAGACCAAAGGCACTCAGTCCTCCAGCTCGGAGCTGTGTGCTGCCATTTCCCCTCCATTTGTTCTCTGGAGCTGACTGTGTGTGCGGTCATCCATAAGGGTGCTGGGATACCCTGGAGAGAGGAGGAATAGCTGCAGCTATTTTTCATTATTATATACTTCACTTCGTAATAAATGAGATCCATAGCATGTGAACGCTGCTCTTGTAGATCATCATATCAGCAAGCACAAGGAACCTTGTGTGCCACAAAGCTAAATAAAATAAAGTAAGTAATCCCCAGAAAAATAGTCAGGGGGGAGAGCACTGAGTGTTCAGGATTGCACAGTGCATCCTGTCAGCCTGAGAATGACCTCAGGACTTGCAGCAGCTGGAGCATGGGTAGTTTTAAAGCTGAAGCTGTGGTCTGCATGCCTGTCTCATCTCTATCTCTATCTCTATCCACATATGATGCAGAAAGTACAGACTTGCACTTCCATTGCCTTGCAGGTGTCTTTGGCATAACAGGGACCAGCAAACAACTTGTGACCCAAAAGAGAAACAGCAGCAGTAGCAGCTGGGCTCTTCTCCAGAGCTCCTGATAATGGTGAGTGTTGAGAGTCTCTATAAAGTAGAGCAGATCAGATGTGGAATTTTCAGACCAAGGTTATGGAAAATCCAGTTCTGCACACCCCCCATGGTTTTGCAGGTAGGGCAGGTATTTGTCTGCAGTGCAACATCGCAGATCTGGGAGATCTGGGTTGTCCTGCTGAGTCCAAAGTGAGTTTCTCACTTGTTAACATTTTGACCAATAACCCAAAGATGTGAGCTATTGAATATCTAGTCAGTGCTAAGAAAATTATGGATATCTATTTCCTGAAGAGCAGCTATAATTCGGGAGAGGAACTTTGGTGTTATTTCCATAGGCCAGTGATGTTTTGGTACCTTCTGCCTTTGGAAAATGATCTATTTTTTGGGAGACATAAGGAACCAGTTCTAAATCTGGGTTTGGTGTACACAAGTGTTAGCAGGAGGCTACAAAATAACAAAACTTAGTTCTAGAAAACCACATTCAGAAGCATAAAAAGAGTGAAAGAATAGATAGGATAAAATGTAGCTCTTTTCTGGAGGTGAGGATTCTACCTTACAGTTTATTTGGCATCATAACTCTTGTAAAATTACAAGCAAAAATTTACACATAACACACAAAGAGAATTCTCCCACTGTTCTAAAACACAATGGTTTTCTTCACTGTGTTTGCCTTGGATGTGAGTTGAGAGGATTCTGGTTTGGTTAAACTTTCTGCCTCTTAGATAAAAAACAGCAGCAATTTTCTGCTTGAATTTCTCTGTGACTAAATCCATTGATCATCCTTTCTCTCAGTGAGTGAGGAGTGTGTTTTCTCTTTAATAACTACTATCCTTCTCCCTGAATATTTTTTTCTCTCCCCTTCACTTGTTTGTGTTGTGTTGGTCAGTCCACTGCACTATTCCTCTGAGAGACAGAGAGAGAGCAAAATTGAAGTTATTTTATGCTTGGTCTCCCTCGGTCCCAATTTTCAAATCTTCATGTCAATTTTCACACATCAGTGTCATATGGCGAATGCTATGGAAATTTCAGTGGGGTCCTTGGGAGACAATTTATACATGACCCCCTATTCCCTCCCCCAAACAGGCTGCAGACCCTGCCTTTACAAAGAATAAGTGGATTTATAATTAATGTGGATTTTAAAATATGAGTACATTCAGAAATTTCCCATTTGTTTGCCTCTGCTGCAGTACGAGTTCAAAGGAATACAAGCTCTCTCTCTTTCTCCTTTCCAACCCTAATAAATTGGCCAAGTTAAGTTAGTATAAAATTACCTCATGGTGAAGTGAAAGATCAACTCATTAATAACTTTACTTTTTTCCCCTAAAAGTTATGCTGATGAAGGTTTATCAATCAGCTTATCACCAGTTAGCAAACACACTCACTGCCACCTACTTAGGTGAGCAAGGTTAGGAGGAAATGGAAGATGGTGAGCTTGGATGGGTAATTCTATCTTCTTTTAAACTAATGAGTGTTCATGGTCTGAGTAAAATCCTAGGACAAGATACAAAGGCTCAGTTGATTCCAGCAGAGCATTTCAATCACTGACCTTAAAATGGGCCCCTGACATCAGAAGGGTACACATCACCTGCTGCATTTTACAGTGTTAATTATCCTCTCTGTGGACAATAAAGGGATGCCAAGTTTTCCAGGTTACATCTCAAAACATCTTAAAACTTAAGCCATTCATGAGGAGACCTAAACTGCACCCAGTCCCACTCCTTAGATTTTATTTAAAGATGGTGTCAAGGCATCACAAGTACCTGATCTTCTCTGTCACCCACCCCCAGCACCTAGAGAAAGATTTTGAAACATCATCAGCCATGAAGTTTTGTATAGTTTATTTTAGTTTGTTCTTTTTTTTCTTTGACAAAACCAGCAAATAGTAACAGGGAAAATTTAATGCCTGACTTTGAAAGAGCTCCATCTTCCCTCCCATTCTTTGTGGACATTCGGTACCTCTTGCAGGTTCCCTGCTCTACCAAAAATAATTATTTTTGTCCTTCAATCTCTTACCTTTCCTTCACCTCATCTTTGTCTGATTTTTTTTTTTTTCTCAATTTTGAAAACTATCTTGGGAATTACAGTGGTAGTAGAATGGTTGAGGTAGTTTTTCTTCTGAAAAGCTCTGGGGATCAGGTTTGGGCTTTGCAATGCAACATCTCATCCAGGAGATGTAGCAATCAGTATCACATCATCCTCCAGTTTATTTAAGTGGCTTCAAAACCAGATGCAATGTGTACAACAGCACATTGAAACCCTCCACCAAGCTGCCTTCCCTGGTGATTTCGTGTGCAACCTCTGGATGGGATAGCTTTATTGGAATTGTCCTCCTCCGATGTGGCCAGAGGGAAATGAACTGAATGAGCATCCTTCTGTGCCACACAGGGACCATCCAATGCACTCCACATGTGTGCAGGTAAGAACACACTGTAGTTTGAAGTAACATGACCCTCAGAAGGGCTGCAGAAAATATATTTGTTTGGCATGCTGCCATTTTGCTGCTGGCTGCAATCTTATCACCTCTCCCAGTCTAGGTCAGGGGAAGCCCTGCAGAACAATTCAAGAGGGGAAAAAAGAGCATCTGTAGGTCCTGGGGCTGCCTCATCCCTTAAGGTGCTGTTGTCTCTGGAGGCACTACTCAAACAAAGTCAAAGAGTTCCTCTGAGATGCTGAGGGCTGCAGGCATGGTCTTATGTAAAGCTGAAAGCTGTAGGAAATGTTCACATGTGAAGATCTCAGTTTTTTGCCTTGCTGGAGAAATTAATCTTGGAACAGTGACCAAGATTGCCCCAGTTTATCCAGGACATGCCCATAGCACTTCTCTAACAAGTCTTCTGGTGGTGGATGAGGTGCAAACTCTGGGGCAACTTTGCACCACGCAGTCACAGGACCATCAGTTGAGAGCTGCAAACCTGCTGTTCTCAGCAGCACTTCTGAAAATCAGAATTGCCTGTGTCTAGGGTTAAATGAGGCATTTTCACTGCTGTAACAGCCTGCCTTATGCTGATGTAGCTGGCAGAAGGATAGAGCCCTCAGCTATATTGTATATATTCCTGTAAAGACAGGGGTAATCCACCAAATTGAGCAAACAGCACATAACTCAGAGAGTGGGCACGTGCCTCTGCGTGTGTGCGTGCACCTGGGTGTGTGAGAGACAGAGGGGGAGATGAGATATGTGGGGAAATACATGAGAGATGAGACTGGAGAGATAATTTCCAGAAAATACAGCAACCACCAGAAACTCTGTCTTTCCAGCTGGAGGGTTTTGCAGTGCTGGTGCTTCTCTCTTAACTTGACAGCCCCGCTCTTAGCCCAGCTCGTAGTTGCTGCCTATAAATTTAATTAGAATGGGGGTAGGGGAGGAACAAGCCTGCACGGCACTTGGCACAGCGCTGAAAATAACCAGCTTTAATACCTTTGACATTGAAGCACCTGCTAAGGGCACAGGCTGCTGTGCAGCTGACCCACCCTGCTCTGGTGACAGGATGTGTCACTTTGCCTGTCCTCCAAAGGTGCAGCCCACCCCGTAACCCAGGGGACTGCATGGCTCTGGCGCTGGGCATCTCCCCGAGCACCACGAGGCAGCGTTGAACCCTGGAGGCACCAGGGAGGGACACCAGGCACCCCTGGCCATGTGGAAAGGGAGCTGCTCAGGCACTGCAGCGTGCCTCGTGTATTTCATTTTTCTCTCTCTGATGTAGTGGGCTATTTTCTGTGTTTGCAACTAAGTGCTGCACTGCAGCCAGCCGTGAACATTTCTGTTGGCCCAGCTGGCCTCTTGTTTTAATGCTGTTCTCAGGGCTCTCCCTGGGTAGAGCGGGGAAGTAAACAGATTGGAACTTTGCCCACACATATATATTTAATTGTGAGCTGATTTTATGCTAGGGAAATGTAATAGACCCATCACTTCAGGCAGAAAACTCCCAGCAGAGGCAACAGGTTAGAGATTTCCCCCACTTCTGGAGCTTCCTGGGATGTAGCAGGTCTTATGGATGTAGGGACTCTTTGACAGAGATTGAACCTTTTATACTGTTTCTGATAAGCTCCAGGCAGTGTGGAGGCAATTTAGGGATTTCAGAGATATTTGACCTCTTTCCTATGCATGCTGTGGGGATCTGCTTGTGATCATGGCTTTGGGTCATGTTTGGAGATGCCCCATCTGAGAAAAGAAAGTCCCTGAGCTCCTCTCACAGAGTCCATCAGTGACACAGTGTCAGGATGCAAATGAAACCTGGACCACATCTGACCCTTTTGCCACCATTAAGCGGCACTGATGCTGCTGCTAGAAACACTTTTCAAATGTGTAATTTGATTTTTTTTTTAAATTGTGTTTGAATCTAACCCAGTTTTAGTTCAATTCAAGTTAGACAAATTCAAATCAAGATCAGATTGAATTCCCCTTGAAATCTGAGGGTATTTTCATATCCTCCAGGGAAGGACTCAGTGGACCTGAACTTAATTTGAGGAAAAAGAGGTTTCAAGTGTCTTGACATCATCTTCACAGAAACATGGAATAGGTTGGGTTGGAAGGGATGCTTAAGATCATCTAGTCCATGAGCAGACAGACAGTGAGCAGAGGGGACATCTCACACTAGACCAGGTTGCTCAAAGCCCTTTCAGATCTGACCTTGAATATTCATCACCCTCTTTCTTTTTAGGGCTCCTCTGCCATGCACCACCCTGCCTGGCTGTATGGCTCTGTTCCAAAGCCCTGGAAGCAGCTGCATTTGCTCAGACCTGAGGATGAGGCATCACAGGCAGCCCCTGAGCAGGGACCACACCAGGCAGAGGGGTGCACACAGCCTTTGCATACAGACACAAGACCTGAGAGGGCAAGACAAAATCCATTTTAAATATGCAGTCGAGTAGTGCAATTTTCAGCCTATTCAGGCTTGGCAAATGCCTTTGAGGGATCAGACTACCACAAGTACAGTTGTGACTATGCAGCAGTCTGTAATGCAACAGCTCAGATGTGAAGTTATTACCGCAGGCACCGTGTTGATACCTGTGTTAAGCCTCTGAGCATTGCCCAGTGTGAACTATGTGTTTCCACAAGACTGAGCAGACCCAGACAGAGCTGATTGCTCTTGCAGTTAATAAAAAGCACTGCACTTTCTCTCTTGACAATCCCGACACCTGAGTGCTTCCTACGTATGACAGTTAGCACATTCTGGTTGCTCAGTGGCCTGTGAGAAATGAGCCTCTTCTCAATTTAGTTCCTATCATCAGACAAGCAGTACACACAATAAAAAACACACCTTGACAGTCAGCCCCCAAAGTAGCCCTGGGGACTGCAGGTCTGAAGTTCCCTTTCTCTTCTACGCAAAGCCATAAACCAGATGGAATTTATGGGGATGGACTTCCTTCTGGAAAATCAAGGTAACTCCACCAAAGTCAAAGGAGTCACTCTGGCCAGTGCAGAACAGCCTGGAGGAGGGGAACCTCTGCTGACCCCACCACGTTTCTTCCCTAGATGGAGCTTGTCAAGCCCTCCTGACTTTCACTGGTGGGCATGGTCTGCCACAAGGTCCCCTCAGTCAGAACAAGGTAAAAGTCCTGCCTCCACCCATGATCCAAGCATTTGGAACTGACCTTCCAAGAAAGAGCACCAGCATGGGTACGATGTCCTTTTGTTCCAGGAGGGTGAGGAAGGCACAGGGCAGGGGGGCTGGAGGGCTGGACCAGCAGTGGGTGGACAGTGGCTGCTGTGACAGGCTGTGCTCCAGCCAAGCTCATCAGGTCATGTCAAACAGAACTAATATAAATGTCAGTGTGCTGCTTTCAGTTGTGAAATCTGTGTTTGTTGTACTGCAGTTCATTTTCAGTCTTCCAGCTCTATGGATGCTATCAGCTGACATGTCTGGCTGGTATCCTCTGCCAAAACTACACACACTCTCAGCATTTCTCAGGAGTTGGGTTTTTCTCTCCTCCCTGTGACATGCTGATGTCAAATTTCTCCCTGGGTCTGTGATACACAAGACCATCCACACGTACTAGATAATGAGTTTAACATTTCAAGGACAGAAGCTCTCAGTCTCAGTGAGACACAGGGTGGATGTGCAGGCCTGATTTGAGCTAGGTGCCAAAGGTGGCAGGGGTCTTTTAAGCTTTTTTGGCATGTTCCCTCTTAAGATAATCCAACCCAAAGAAACAGATGTGTATAACTCAGAGTTCCATTGTTATTCTTATCACAGTTAAATATTTTGTTGTCATTAACAGCAGCTTAAATTCTTCTCTTATTTTTCCTTGCTTTTGGAATAAATTCTGTTTCTGAGCACCCAGGTCTCAGTCTTCTATTGATGCTGCTCTGGTTGACTCCAGGCTCTTCATAATTTCCCCACCCTACAATTTCATGTTGGCTTCACAAATAAAAATTCTTATTCTCTTCCATTCTGCTCCCCCACCTTTCTCTTGGCAACCTGATCTGCATATCCAAACTCAAGCATCCATGCTCTGACAATGACTCACAAGTCTACTCTGGACTTGTTTCTTTTTGTCCAAAACTGAAACTTCATGCAGTGCCCTTGGCTTTTACTCACTTGTGGTGAGCTGTCATCTTAAGCTGACCGTGAATTTCCAGTTTCCTCCCTACAAAATCTAGCACCTTTGCCTCTCTCTCTTTTTTTTTTTTTTCCTATCATGATCTGGAGCTCATATTTGTTACTAAGGCTCCAAACGTAAGGGATTTTTTCATATAGCTCACCTCCCTCTAATTTATTACCTACAGAATATATCTATGTCTTTCTGAGTTTCAGTTATAACAAATAGAAAAGATGCTGAATTTACTGGTGCTCCACACATATGAAACTCTTACAGAGGTTTAGAATTACTTGGATTTTATCTGTGGAAACATTCTTTATTTTTTCTGGACAAATTGAATCACATGTGTTTTTCCAAATTACTCTGGAAATGTAATTTCTCCAGCATATCAGTGTGATCAATGTATTGCTGTTTTGGTTTCCTTCTTGGAAGGAAGATATTCATCCATGGTAGTCCTGCTGTTTTAACAAATGCAAGTTAATCCTTTGAAGGCATTTTTCTGCCTCATTCTTTAGCTTGCTCTGATGAGACACCGCTGGTCACAGTCAGGAGAAGGTCAGAGGGGCAGCCAAGGACCAGAATCCTGCACACCCTGCCAGGCTGGCTGGCTAGGACAGACACACTGTCTCCCCATGACAGAGAGAAGTCTTCTTCTCTTCCCTGGATGCAGCTGCATTTCATGGTGGTGCATCTTCTCCTGCTGTTTCTCCTGTTCTTTTGACAGTTCCTCGTCTCTTGGTTTTGTCTGAGCATTTCCTGGGACAAGAGCAAGATTTTTTATCTCAGCAGCACCAAGTACAGCAGCTCCCAAACCTCAGTGATGAGGACTGAGAGATGCCTCGTGCAATGCTGGTAATCAGTAACATAAATTAGAAAATGGTTATTTAATGGCAGTAGGGCAGCAGAACGGGACAGGAACCAGAAAAGCAGTTCCAAACTATGTATTTGAGACACTCATGCTTTGGCCTTGATAAGTGGTGGATCAAATAGGAGTTGGACTTCCATGGTCCTTGTGGGTCCCTTCCCACTGGGGATACTCTACAATTCTGTGCTTGTTGCACCAATGTTGGCAGAAATGTAGGGTCACCAGGACCAGAATCCATTCCTCTGGCCAGTGAGTGACAGCAGTGCTTTTATTTTGGCAGGCCAGCATCATTCCAGCCACCAGCACAAGGCAAAAACTTGCACACACAGAACACCCTCCTGCCCGTGGCAGCCAGAGCACCCTTCAGACATCCACCTCACCTGCTGACACAATCCTTCAGCACCCACCAAAATCAAATGCAGCTAATTGAAAGGTGATGACGGCCAGAGGATTCCTGGATTTGCATGCTAATTCCTCTATTTTAGCATCACAGAGCCCAAGTACAGGTAAGATGTGACTCTGCCCTTCATTCTACACTATTTCATGTCTTCTCCACAGTACACATGAATACACACACACACACACACACACACACACACACACACACACACATAAACTTTCTCTCTTGGGCTGTCCTGAAGCCAAAAATCAGATGGAGATCATACTACATGTGCTTTCCAAAAGGCTGGCCAGCAGCTTCAAGGGGCAACAAGTTTTCTTTCCTCTTGCTAGGACAGGGCTGCAAACTGCAACTTTAAAAATCTCAGCTGGGATGAACAGAGCTCTTTCCACGGGCTGGGTTGCAGCTTCCTGATGCTTTTTATGCCATGGTTTAGGATGGATTCCTGGCTCTTGTATCACATGATACTGTTGAAGTTTTGTTTTGAGTACCCACCTCCTTCCCTGTTCTACCACTGGCATCTGCCCCTGCTCTAAGTCTACCAATTATTTCCTTTAAGTGTCAGCAGCACACCAGACACGTTGAGATATAACCTTTCTTCTAGTTGATGCTGTTAAACTATTACTTGAAACTGAAGTTGCAGTTGACAAGTGCTACTTCAGTCACTAATAACTACTTCAGGAGTGCTAGTGGTGTCTTGGCTCTTAATGCTGTGGCTCAGGGCTCAGGGAGTGTCTTTACAGGTCACTTGGAGCCATCCATCTGATCTAAATCAAGATCAGTCAATCTCTCCTCTGGCTCTGTGCCTTGCTTGCCAGGAGGTTCTTTCTCCATCCCCCCAGGGCTGCAGCAGTGGCAGATCTGGCATATCTGGGTGGCTTTAGGGGCTGCCCAGATTCCAGAGGATCCCACTTTGGGATGTACCTGTGATCCACAAGCTGAGTTTTTCTGTTTGCAGACAAAGAAAAATGAGGGCTCCAATTCCTTGAGGTTGAATACAGCTCTTTCAAGGGAGAAAGATGTCCTTTACTGGCTTTTTTTTTTTTTTTCATTTATTTTTTAAAAGCAGGTTCTGTGTTCAACACCTTCCTGAGAAAAGAGGATTTCTGCATGGAAGGAGAATGAGTACTCAGACACACACCTCAATTCTTCAGCATCAGGTAAGGAATAGCTTTCCTTCCATTTCCCACTCCCCTTTCTTCAGGATAAGCTCCTCCAGTCTAATCAAAGCATCTTAGTTATCTTAGACACAGAAGATTCACAGTTTGGCAGAGGTCACAAATATTTCCTTTCTATTTTGGCAGGGTTTTGGCTCAGTCTGAGGATGAATTTCAAACAGAGTAATATAAGGCAAGGCCAGATCATCAGGGGCACTGAGTCTTATGCCCTGTTACTGCAGAGAATCCTCTAAGAGATGTTAAATCCAGAACAACCTCCACTTTTCCTTTGTCTCCTGCATATAAGAAGCTACAATGTGGTATAACAAACTAGGTCTGGCTTTTCAATATAAAAAAAAAGATATGTCAGCTTTTAAGTCTCCTTGACATGACAACATCTTCATCTAAATCGTGAAGCCATCCTTTGGATAGCCCAGCCTTGGTCTAATGTCTTTTAGAAAATGATGCTCATTTAATTCCTGAAATGTGAAATCTAGGTCTCAGGTCAAGAGCATAGATGTTGTTTAGCTGAAAAATTTAGATCCATCAGACTGTCTGCAAGAGTCTGCAACTTTTCAAACTTTAGATTGCACTAGACTCTTACTGCTATATATAGTCTTTTGAAGAGTAGCATCTAAATAAAAATACCCTTGAAATACAGGGCACTTTTTATGCTCCCACCCTCACAATTTTTTAGGTAACAAAAGGCTTCTTCAGGGCCACAGATTGTCTGTGCAGAACAAATAGCCAGACCTCAGCTAAAAGTTTATTCCTTTTTCACTCTGTATCCAGCCCTGAATTCTTCCCTCAGGCAGGATTTTGATGGGACTTGATGGGAGAATCCCCTAAGACAGGCAGGGTCAGATCACACAGATGAAGGGACTTGACAATATGGGAGATATGGAAGCACCTCAGCCAGAGTAGGGCAGCCACTTCATGGGAAAATAAACCCAGTTCTTATCTTAGTAATTGTACAGACAAATTAAATCTGGGCCCAAGCAATCAGTACTCACCCCTTCACTGTTACAAGATGACAGACCTCCAGCCAAGCCACATATCCTTTGGTAGTAGAGTGATCAGCTGAATCTCTTGCCAGGCAGATTTCTAATTCTCATAAGATGTGTTGGTTATGGGAAGGATGTTTCTACAACACAGGGAAATTTTCATCCTCAATGGGAAACACAGCTGGGCCAAAGGAAAGCTTGTGTGGCACCTGTATCTAGAGCAGATCACACACACACATGAGCTTCCAGAAGGCAACAGAAACTCCATTCATATGGCAATTGTGTCTTTATATCCTCTCTATGTGTATGAATTTATGGTTGTATGAACAGCCATATCCAGTTATTGAAGTATTTGATGATCCAAAGTGCTCAAGGCCTTCTTATTCCATCTCATTCACCGTTAAAGTTCTGCACAACCTTTTTACTGACTTTCAGCCTGCCATAAATACAAATGACTTGCCAATAAAAGCTGGTATCTCCCTCTGTCAGGAGGACTATAGCATCGTTGTTATTTAAGAGGTGGCAGTTTTGACACAATTCTTATTTAAAATTTGTAAAAGGAAAAAAGATGATGTAATAAATCTGCATGTTCTTCCTAAGCAGCCATTGAAAGTGGATGCTCTTCCCCTTTCCAAAAGCATCAGCCGTTTAATGTTTCCTAAGTTGTTTTTGCATGAATTAGGGTGTTGGAGTGAAGCACTGTCAGTTACAAAACCACGCTGTTGTCTCCAGCTAATTTTGCGTTAGTAGCTCTTTTAAACTGCTAAATCTAGTTTTTAGTGTATGATGATTTTGCTTAGTGATGGTGTAAAACAGCTGCTACTTTTCTGATGAGTTGCCTGTTTTCCATTTTATGTCTCTGCAAGATGTTGGGTTTCATCATGGCCCCGTCTGACAGGCAGCTGAGAACAACCTGTAAAAAACCTCCAAAACACAACAGAAAGCAAAGAACCCCAAATCCAGGGTTCCAGACACCCATAGAGCCAAATTTCAGAGTGATCAGTCCTTCTGTCTTTACTGGTACCCTCAGACCATCTCAGTTCCACACCAGGATGATGTAGATGAGGAGAGGAGGGTGAGCAGGAAAGCAGGAAACTCGCTGCTCTAAAGTGGAAAATGAGTGGCCATCCAACACCCCCAGACTGTTTCTAGGGAGCTGGTTCAGATTAGCATGGCTGTGCTTTTTCTATCCTTGCTGCTCATGCTGCTGCTCCCTGCTCTCTGCCTGGTTATGGCCAGAAGGCTGAAATTATGGCTTGGATGAAATTATGGCTTGGAGTGTCTTTCCAAAGTAATTAATCACTCTGCTTTCCTCAGATTCTGCTTGCAGCCATTGCTTCTTGAGTGGCTTTTTGCCACTGAATCTCTTGGGTGCCAAACTCTTCCCAGGATGTGGCTGCTCGTGGCCATCAGAAGAAGGGAGCAAGGGGCAGACTGTTCATGACTCAGTTACCCCTCACCAATACTTCAAGGGGCCTCTCTTAAGCAAAATCCCCATTACCTTTGTGAAAGGTGTTTTGCATTTGGTGTTCACCAGAGGTTCTCATGAGGAAACACTTAGTGGTCACCCCGTAGATACCTTGCTACTGACTTTCCCAACCAGGCAAATAGCCCTGCTTTATTCAGTGGCAGAAAGCTGAATCGTTGTCTTTGATCTTGCCTTATCCCCTGTATCCTGTAGGCTGGCATTTGTTCCATGTGTTCCAAGCAAGAAAATGACAAAACTCATAAAGGAAGCACTCAGAGAGTGTCTCAAAGAGGTGAAGATTAAGATCTTTCCAATAATAACCCACACTCCATAAAAAGATCTTGGATTCTGGATAGACAAATTGGAAGCAGCTTGCCTCCCTGATTCTTCCTTCCTTTTGCACTTACTCTCCTCCTCAGCACAGCTCAGGCTTTTCCAAAAGCAGTGCAGCCCATTGAACAGCGGTGGTCTAAACTGTTATGGAGATCTTAAACTGCTGAATTGTTGCAAGCTAAAATTGATTGCAACTGAGCCTGTGAACTGAAGTGCTGGAAACAGCACAGAGAGAAGTGGGGAAAGGGTAAGAAAGATCTCGCTTTATTATTTTGGGTTTTTTTCCTCTTTCATAAGATTTCTGAACAATTTGGCCTTGATGAGTTCTGCATCTTTCTCAATAGCCATTGGACTGTTTTTCCTGGTATTTTCAACATAAAAGGTATTCTTGGTTTGCCTTCCAATTTGCTGGTTGCAGTGTAATTTCTAAAGAATTCTAAAAGTCTGCTTCGAAGTCAGATCCAGAGGGAAAAATACTGTGAAATTTACTCCTCCTCAAGCTAAACCCCCCACCTTTTTTAGATTTCCAAAACGAAAAATCTTTTTAGCCCGTTTCACTCTATTCTGCCTTGATTTTATTTGCACCCTCATCACGAGAGCATCTGAACACCTCCGAGTAGTACATTAAGCGACGTGACTAACATCTGTCACGTATAGTTTGCTTGCTGTCTCTCAGCATCCTTAAAATGAATTTAGTGCTTGTGCAGGATCGATAGTGCTGGAGACAGACAGTCTCTGCTCAGCCTCAGAGCTGGCACAGTTTGGGTGAGACCCCTGTGATGGTCCCCTGAGTGCCAGGTCATGGGCAGCACCCATGGAGGAGCTGCTCTGCACCAAGGTTGTTTCCAGCGGGACAAAGAAATGCAAGTAATTTGGGGAAATCAGATGAGGCTGTCAGTGTTTCCCTGCTCTCATCTGCATGCTGAGGGACATGTGTATGGTCTCGGGTGCCTGCAGTACTCAGGAGCCCAGATGCATCCAGCACTGCTGATTTTCCAAAGTTTTCTGCCTTCCTCAGGTGGCTTTTCTTATTGTCTTAGCATCAGTTACAACTTAGGGCTATTGATGGACAAGGATGTTGCTGCTTCTCACCACCAAAAACTTCTCTGCCAGATTTTTTTGACAGAGACAGTGTTCTCAGCCACTGAAATCAGGTTAATAAATGTCCCTTGCTGAACAGAGCTGGGAGCCCTCTCCTCTGGAGCCAGCACCACAAGCAAGATCTAGGCATCCTGGGGCGTTGTAATTTCAAGCAATATGTTTTCTTAATGGGCCAAATATGCTTTGCCTAATTTTGCTTTCAGTGCATGGGATTGTTATTGCTCAGTGGCCCCACACAGGTGTTTAAGCAGTTTTGTGACAGGATTTTCCAGCAGCAGCATGAGGTTTTATTGACTGTTACCTCAAGAGTAACTTCAGAGGAAATGACATCCCCAGCTGCTTGTGATGGATGCATGTGGAGCTGTGGCAGAAAACTCAGGAGCCAATGACCTCTGTCATTTTCTATCATATTTCGGGTAAGAATGCAAAGCAACTGTAAAAGGACACTGCTTTTTATGCAGTGAGAAGAATTAGGAGAGATGAAGTTACTAAATTACTTGTTTTCCCTGAAAACTGTTGGCTTGTCAGCTCTGATAAAATGAACATACAGAGGATAGGTCAATAAGTAAAATAAGTTCCTTATTTTATGAGGATGTAGGGTTTAATTTGGTCTGTGAGTATGGATTAAATGGTAGTCTAGGGGACTCTGATCTCTGTGTGGTAACCTAAATTATAAATTACACAGCTTTTGACACATAAGAGACATCTGACCCACAACTTGCCCTTGTTCCAATTCCATAGTAGGTCAAAACCCAGGTGAACACCACTAATTTCTCCTCAGTGCCACCAACCTGTACCTTGCCATCCATAAAAGGTTCCTGGTTGTTTGGAAACCCAGCAGGCTCCAGCAGGACCCACCCAGGGCATGTTCCAGAGCCTGTTTCTCTGGGTAATATCTGAGACTGTGCTCTGCTGTTAGCAGCAATGGAAACAGGAGCTATTTGATCAAGACAGATAAATACATCTATTTCAGAATACATAATCTTACCACATATGTGAAGTAGTTTAATCATTAGCAAGTTGTCAAGCTTTTATTGAATGGAATTAGCCTCTTTATTTCTGGTCAGGATCAATCTTTTTTTCCCCTTCCCAGTACA